TCTGCCTGTTCTGCTCCCCACTCTGTCTCTGGTGAAGCCTCTCACCGCCCCTGAGCCTCTGGCCTGTACCCTAGTTCTGTATGAATAAATAAATAAATCTTTAAAAAAATATATGTATATATAGAACATACAAATAAACAAAGCTGTGCCTAGGACTCAGTAATACATTAAGAAGCACTGAGGTGATGCTGCCTGTGAAATGGTTACTAGTTGCTTTCCTGGAAGCCTGTGCTACCTCTCTGTTGAGGGCAGGTATTACTTTCATGTTAGTACAAAGAAATTAAATTACCTTCCATCAGTCTGATAGGGAGCTCCAAGGGGAAGAACACATAGTTGCTGGGATCAGTCAGAGAGGGCTGGATAACTCAGGCACCCGACTTAGTTCTTAGGCTTGTACAGTAAGGTCATACTTGCAACTATACAAATCAGTGGATTGTTTTAACTAGAGAAGGCTTTTTACAGGGGTTGATGGACCTAGATCTTGAAGGGAAGGTGAGGCTGTAAAATGACTAATGTACAGAGGTAGAAGGCTGTGACCCAAGGGTGAGGTCGTTTCTAGGTGCCTTATGCTCGCTCAGAGGCCCACCTCACAGAGCTGCTGGAAGAGGTGTGTGACCGGATGAAGGAGTATGGGGAACAGATTGATCCTTCTACCCACCGCAAGAATTACGTTCGGGTAGTGGGCCGGAATGGAGACCCTAGTGAACCAGACCTACAGGGCATCCGAATTGATTCGGACATCAGCGGCACCCTCAAATTTGCGGTGAGTCTGGGCGTGAGTACAAGTTTGTGGGAACGCTGGACTTGTCGGCGCGTCCAGGGGGCAGTTGGGTTAACAGCCTTGCCTCCTCCCCGGAGGTGGAAGCAGAAGGCCGCCTCTTCTGTCCTGTCACGTGTTTCTTTGGGCCGACAGTGCGAGAGCATCGTGGAGGAATATGAAGATGAACTCATTGAATTCTTCTCTCGAGAGGCCAACAATGTCAAAGACAGACTTTGCAGCAAGCGAACAGGCAAGCTCCTCCCTCCCCACTCCTGTCCTCCACCCACCTAAGCGCCACTCGTTCCTCGTGTCCCTCCTCCTCCAGCCTTTGATAGACACTCAGGAGTTGACTTCCATTGTCCATGGCTTAGGGACACGGGTTCTTGTCCACTCTCTTGTCAGCTGTCAGAATGTGTGGCCCCTCACCTGAGACAGGTGGGAGGGGTGGGGATGTTTTGTCACTTAGAATATGAAACCGTGCTGGGTGGTGAGCGTGGCAGCTTGGTTTCGGCTGTGCCCGAGGAGGTGGGTACCATTATGAGGACAGCACTTTGCCCCTGAGTGTTGTGTGCCATTTGCAGATCTGTGTGACCATGCCCTGCACATATCCCATGACGAGCTGTGAACCACTGGAGCCCCCCAGACCGGCAGACGTGATGGATTACCCCCAGGAGGGGAGAGGGTGGCCATGCCTTTTATATTATATTTTTAGTGAAAAGAACTGAAAAAAAAAAAAAAAAAAGAACCGAAAGTACAAGCTGTGTTGTCATTTTATGCCCAGAGTTACTCTCACATTAGGCTGGAAGATACGGGATTCCCAATGGAGAAGGGAAGGCGGGCAGGAAGGTGTTGGGTCCGTGCAGCCCCAGGCTGGATTCGAACGTCCCATGTCTGAGAGCCTCACGCACTGACAGGCACGGTCAGCACTGTCTCAGCAACTGTTCACTACCACGTGTTCGGGGTCTTAACCGGAAGGAGGAGGAGCCTTTATACATAAGCAAGGGAGTGTGAGTGAGCATGTGACGCTACCTGTGTTCACAGAGGTGGAGCCTCAGGTAAGGCAGATTTGGTCTTGAGGGAAACAACAGGCGTGCGTTATTCCACCCTCCTCTTTAAGGCGGCGGGTCAGAGGAGCAGACCAGGAGGGGCCGTGGGTGTGGTAGTGAGCTGGAAAGTTAGGGTTTGCAGAAGCTGGGAGGGATGAGGTGAGGTAAGTTGTTTAATGAAAGGCTGTGAAGCTTTTGGTGGCTGAAACTTCTGACACTAATAGCAACACTGATCTGAGCCTCTCTCCGGTACTGGTCATTGTCAACCTGGACTGTAGGTCTTTCTCCATTTCCTCTCTGTAGGGATTCTGTGCTGGGACATCTGAAGAAAACCCAACAGCACTCCTTTTTGGAGAGCTCAGGCACCCTCACCTAGAAGGGAGTTGTCTCGGGGCTTAGAATGAATGGAACATTGAATAAACATTTCAAAGCTTTTATCTTAACTATTTTAGAATCCGTAGGTAGATTGGAGGTTATTTAGTTCACTCACCCATTTGACAGGTGAAGAAACAGGCCCAGACAAGCCACAGGTCCTGAAGTTCTGTATTTAGTGGTAAAATTAGGTCTAGAAGCTAATGTTCCCAGGTGTTAGTCTGTCTGATCAAACAGCTGTAAAGTAGCTTGCATTTAAAGCTTTTTTTTTTTTTAAGCTTTGTTTGTTTATGGATACAGAACTGGGGTACAGGCCAGAGGTGCAGGGGTGGTGAGAGGATTCACCAGAGACAGAGCTGGAGCAGAACAGGCAGATTAACAGTGTACACTGCTGAGGGGAGCAGCGGGCGGGTCAGGAGAGGTCCGCCGTGCTGTGGGTCACCTCCGGGGCTGGGGTTGAACTGCACTGAAGTGGCCACATCTGGCTTGCTGTGCTGCGTACAGCCTGTTGTTCAGCCAGGGAGGGCCCCGGAAAGCTCACTTGGACCACAAATCTCCGTGAAATCTAATACATCAATTAGCTCAAAGCAAGCACCCCAATGAGTCGGTAGCTAACCTGGGCGGCTAGTGTTAATTCCTTCTCCCATCAGTTAGGATTCTGTTGCTTGGCTCGTTCGGCTCCAGAATCTGCATTAGAAATTTATGAAATTTACCAACAGTGTGAGAGAACTTGGGGAACCTGAAACTTTTAACTTACAAAACTATTTACAGGTTTCAATAAGTAAAATTTAATGTTAACTGGTATCATATGACTTCCAGCGTGATGAGTGGGTAAGGCTCTGGTCTGAGAGCCCGCTGGCGTGTGTCCCATGTGAAAGGGTGGGAGTCACCCTCTCTGAATTGATCCTCAGGATTTAATGAACCTTCCTCCATGTGGCTTCAAGCTGCCAGGTCACAGCGTCACCCTGTCATTCCCCCACCCCCGCCTGAATCTCAGCTCTTCACTGAAGCGTCTGGTCTTCTCCATCAGGCTGCTTTGGGACATTCCCTTCCCCAGAGCCCTGGGGCAGCCCACTCACACCACACAGTGATAGGAGCAGCTCCGGTCTGGATTTTGGCAGCATCCACCCAAGTGCTCAGTGGCCAGGACCCCGGTGTAGTGGGCAGAAGCCCGGTCCCTCTGAGTGGTAGAGCCTCTCCCAGCCTCCCCGGGGCACAGGTGGTGCTGGGGGCCCCAGGGCTCCCACGGCCGCCTGGGGGTAGCCAGTGCTCACTGATGCCACTGGCTGCGGCTCCGGTGGCCCCGTTTCCAGGCCCGCCTCAGTCTGGGTGGCTTGCTGGTGAGCACCTGAACCTTTTGGATGCTCACTGTAGCAAATGACTCCAGCCTAGTGTTTTAGCGCATACATTGAAACTTGTGTGTGACTACACCTTAGCTTTAGGGGCCTTCTAAGTGAGTTTGGCAGTGAAATGTTAGAGCCTTAAGTAAATATTCCCAAAGACAATGTTCAGTTAGGCCCAGATGTGACTTTTTTTTTTAACCTGAAGATTTTTTTAAAAAGATATATTTTATTTAATGCTTACAGAACTGGGATACAGACCAGAGGTGCAGGGGCAGTGAGACGATTTACCAGAGACCGGGGGGGTGGGGGGGGCAGGACAGATGGACAAGGTACATCACTGAGGGGAGCAGCGAGCAGGGGAAAGGTCTGTGGCGCCATGTGGGTCACCATGGGGCGAATCAAACTCATGCTGCAGCGGCTTTAGCTTCTTAGTGCTGTGCTTTAACCTGCTGCGCCACCAGGGAGGGCCCCCCTAAGGATTTTAATATTTGTACTTACAGAACTGGGGTACAGGCCAAAAGTGAGAAGATTCCCCAGAGACAGAGTGGGGAGCAGAACAAGCAGACTGACTGAAATATGCTGCTGAGGGAGCAGCAGGGAGACAGTAGAGGCCTGCTGCGCCCCGGGGTCACCCCAGCTGGGACTGGACTGGTCTGGAGCAGCTGTGCCGTCCTTGTGGTGCCGCACTCCGCCACCAGGGGGCGCCCTACCCTCTTGGTTAAATATTAAGATTTTTTAAAATTTATTTTCGCATGGAAGAACTGGGGTATAGGCCAGAGGTTGGGGGGTCCAGGGCATCCTCCTGGTCATTTTAGGTGATACAAATACCTTTCCTATTTTTGTGCCTTCTGGGACAGTTACCATTTATCATTTATTGTATATATAATTACACCAGTTTTATAGATCCGATTACAATTCTTTGTATTTTAAAATACCTTTAGCTATGACTGCAGATTGAGTGGATGTGCCAAAGACCTATCAACAGTGTCTCAAAAATTCCCTTTCTGAGTTGCCGCTGATTAGTCACAGTCATCACCACATGAGCCATATAGCTTAGTAGTTAAGATCCCAAGAGGCCCTCCCTGGTGGTACAGTGGGTTAGAGCACAGCGCAGTGAAGCTGTAACGCAGCTGCAGCACCAGTTCCCACGCCAAAGGGGTGACCACATGGTGCAGCAGACCTCGCCTGACCCGTCCTCTGCTCCACTCCGCAGTGTGTTTCAGTACATCTGCTTGTTGTGTTCATCCCTGTGCACCTCTGTCCTGTACCTCAGTTCTTGTGTGAATAAATAAATCTTTTTTTTTTAAAGATTTATTTATTTGTGCATACAGAACTGGGGTACAGGCCAGAGGCTCAGGGGCGGTGAGAGGCTTCACCAGAGACAGAGTGGGGGGCAGAACAGGCAGATCGGCGAAGTCCACTGCTGAGGGGAGCAGCAGGCAGGTCAGGAGAGGTCTGCTGCGCCATGGTGGTCACCTCCTGGGGCAGGCGGGGATCGAACTCATGCGGAAGCGGCTTTAGATTCTCAGTGCTGTGCTTTACCCCGCTGCGCCACCAGGGAGGGCCCCAAATAATTAAATCTTTTTAAAAAAGGGTACTAAGAGTGAGGCTAAGCTATGTCTGAATTCTAGCAAAGCCATTTATAAGTGATGACCCTAAGCAGGGTGTTTCACCTAAATCTTGGTTTCCTCCTCTGTAGAGTTATTATAAACCACATCCCTTAGAGTTGTGATTATTATGTGATGGTTAATTAATTAAGATAACGTATTAACGCATTTAGATAGTATCTGAAAATTAGTAAAGTGTTCAATAAATTTTTGCTACCACCTATGAAACAGGTTTGGTTTATGGACGCCAGCATGCTTAAAAGTTTTGAGCTTAGGCTGCCTGCTTCCGCTTTTTCCTAGCCACCAGGGGGCACCATTGCCTCAGTCCAGTTAGAAGAGAGCCTCCCAAGGTCAAGATGACCTCAGCGTTCATTCAGCTCTCCTTTTGCTCCCAGCAGTTCCCAGCGTTTAGACCTAGAATTTATTCGGCTACCATAAACTGCTTTACTGGGCTGCCTTATCTTCTCCCTTAACTTTATTGCGTCCTCCCCAGGTCCCACCTAATTTTTTTAAAGATTTATTTATGTATAGAAGAACTGGGATGTAAGCCAGAAGGGAGGTGTGAGAGGCTCCACCAGAGATGGTGGGGAGCAGAACAGGCAAGTTGACAGAAACATATTGCTGAGGGGAGCAGTGGGTGAGACGAGAGGGCTGCAGGACAAACTCAGTGGCTGCTGATTAAGTGCTGAGACTTAAGCCCTCGCACCACCAGGGAGGCCACCGCCCACTTTTAGGAAGTCTCTAGGCCAGCTCTGGGATACACTGTTTAGTTCCTTGAAGCCTGGCTTTCCCATTGGCCTTAACACTAATGGAGATAAGAACTGAATAATGTCAGAACAAGCCCGTAAAGTCCTCATGACACTAGGCTGTAAGACATTGTGTCAAAGGGCTTAGCGGTCTGCTCCTACCCGCCTCCAGTCCACAGCAGGTTACCCTGACGTCTACTCAAAAGAAATGATCCCGTCGTAGCCTCACCTGAGAATGCCTCTGTTCTCGTAAGGGCACTGGAGTTCAGTCTTCTGGTCTCTGGTTAGTCTCTGTGGATAATTAACCAGGGAGAAGAAACCAGGTCAGACTATTCTAGGGTTATGAGGAAATCCTCTGTGAGCTGCTAAATCGGGACCAAATATTGATCAGCGGAGCTTTGAAGTCAAGGCGGGGGTACCTGAAGTCAGTGCTCCTCTGGGGCCCTTTGGCTTCTCTTCTAAAGTTCCTTCTAAGACCTCCCTAGGTGATCCTCAAGCCAGAGGAGCATTGGCTGATGGTTGTGAAGCTGGGTGTGAGAATATTTGGGGGGAGAAATTTACGATTTTCTTTTCCAAGTCTAGGATACCAACTAAGTTTTCAATAAACTAGGTCTCAGCGAAGCTGGCTTACCATACCCAGCACTTCTGAACCTTGTTACTACTAAGTGAGGAGATCAAAAGACCTTGAGATGTAGAGATAAGGTGCTGGCCCTAGAGTCAGTTCTCTGCCCTTGGGTCAATGACAGTCTAGGCTTGCGGAGGCGGGGAGGCACCAGAGGGGTTGGTCTGGAGCGGCTTTGGTCTCTTTAGAGCTCCCACTTAGAGCCTGGGGAGCACAGGGTAAGTATCAAAAAGGTAGCCAAGTAGGGCAGGTTCCAGAGTAAGAGCAAAAGGGAGGCTGCCTCATGCCTGGCCTTACTGAGGGGCCGGTGGGTGGCCGCTGATCCTACACCTGGAAGTGGGTGGGCTGGCTGTAGGGGCTATGTGACTAGTGTGGCTGTGACACTGGTGGTCAGAGGCGCTGACCTGCATGAAGTGAAGGGGGCACTGGCCACAACAGCCCACAGAAAGCGATGCCTACCCAGGCTTCTTTCTTCCGCCCCATATCGGCCTCTGCTGGGACCTGCAGTACCGTGGCTCCAGTCGATGTCCCCGCGGCCAGCTGGTGTCGTTACTTGCGTGACATATCACCTCTAGAAGCCTTAAGTCATTGGCCAAAGACATTCCTCAGGAGGGCATGCCAGGGGGGAAGGAGTGGACGGGTCGGTGCCATGACAGTGTACTGAGGCGTCGGCTTCCCCAGCCCTTCCAAGGTCGAAGCCCTCGCGCGTGTTCGCAACCCCTCGCCCCACAACCGCGCCCCAATGTGTTAAGCCCAAGGGGAAAAGACCGAGTTAGTTAACTGAGTTCTCAGGCACATACGCAGCCACCTACACGCTGCCCTCCCCCCGCACCCCTTAATGAGCCCAACGCGGCCGGTCCAATCCCCCCCGCCACCAGCGCTGTCAACGGCGCAGGTCCCGCCCCCCGCCCGCGCTGCGCC